TTTTTTTAATTTATTCATTTGACAGAGATCACAAGTAGGCAGAAAGGCAGGCAGAGAGAGAGGAGGAAGCAGACTCCCCGCTGAGCAGAGAGCCTGATGTGGGGCTCGATCCCAGGACGCTGGGATCATGACCTGAGCCGAAGGCAGAGGCTTTAACCCACTGAGCCATCCAGGCGCCCCGCCCTACTAGTTTCTTACGAAGAGAAAAAACAGGCTTTCTTGTGTGAAGTGGTGGGTATGCAGAGCAGTGGCCGTCCATGGTGTAAAAAGCACTTTTTGGCAGCTTGGACCAGTGGTTAAGAGCAAGAAATCAAGGATATATTTGCAATAATGAAAAATAATCTTTGGTAAGACTTTGTTTTGGGATTTGACTAAACCCTTCCGAGAATGCTGGCTGCTTTGGGTAGCCAAACTGCTCCCAGATGTAAAAGCTGTCCCAGTTTATAAGTATTTTCAATTTAAAGGTATCTTGGGACACCGATGTGTTCCCGCATTCTAGGGCATGAAAGAGGACACCTGATTTTGAGTACTGAGGTCAGAGGTCTATCAACAGAGTGAAGGGAAGCCGCCTGCAGGAAGGGGAAGGCAGTCCTTCACAGAGGAGGTGGTCCCTGAATGATTGTACTTGCACAGTGACACCGGGTCCTTATTTGGGGATGGAATTGTTGATCTGCTAGCCAGGTAACTAGCAGACCATTTGGAGGTACAAAGGAAGTGGTGACCCGGTGTTCTTTCTTCATTTGTTTGAAGAGAGGTATAATTTGCCTTCAGGACTTCTTCAGCAACAATAGGATTTGAATAAGGTGATACACTTCCATGTGCGTGTGTTTGTGTGCCCGCACGAGTGCATTTTTAAAGAGCTCTTGTACATGGGGGAGGGGGCAGGTGTGTGTGGGGAAAACCAAGTATGGCTTCCAGTGATGTTTAGTAAAAATACACTGAGTAAGTGAATACAGCTCTGGCCTGTGTATAGGACAGTGGGGATATAAATCTGTGGAGGCCCCGTTTAGAGGACATGCTTGTGGTCAACCCTGATTTTGGCATCTAGGGAACATCTGAAGCAACACAGAGAGAAGCTTCATCCAAAGTTTTATGCCCCAGAAATTTGTTTTATCTTCATTTTATACGTTTATAACTTCCTGTGATATGAATCTTTCTTGTTTTGGAAGGCATTTTTCTCTCTCCCTTCTAAACAGCAAAAAACCTTGAAGAACAGAAGTATTTCAGATTTAGCAGCTCTTTCAAACCAGATGCTGCTTTTTCTGTTTTTAATTCCAAATAGGCTTATTGCTTTACCGCAGCTGGGCAGCACATGACAGGCTTCTGAAAGCCTTTTTATTCATCCAATAAACACAAACAACTCAAATATTAGCCTAACGAGTACGTAAAGGGTAGCCTCAGAGGGACAAACAAAGCCGATGGTTTCTTCCTTGGGTGTTTGGATATAACAACTGATGGTAAACTTGGTCGTCTCGTCCGTCGGTACCTCTCAGATTTTAATGTGTACATGACCTGGGGGTCTCATTAAATGCAGGCTTAATTTTAAATTTGGTTTGGATTCAGGGGGTCTGGACTGGGCCTGAGTTTCTGTAGTGCTAACTAGCTCCTCCATGGTGATGCGGGTTATTGGTCCCCACGACACACGTGGAGTAGCAAAGGGCTAGACAATTTCCTGTTCTAACGGAGGCCTGGGGAAGGCAGTTTGCTCAAATGGCTGGTGAAGACACCCTCAGATAATGCAGAAATGAGAGCAGGAGAAAAGACAATTTAATGACTTTAAAGTTAGAACGTGGCATAAAGCAAACTGCTTAAAGAGAACGTGAAATAATATTCCATTAATTACGAAAATGTACATAGAATAGCCATTACATAAGAAGCAGGTTGTAAGAAAGCCAAAGCCCTTCCCTTGCCTATCATTTCCCCCGTAGTGATCACAAGGGGAGCAGCATGGACGTTTCAGGTGGGATAAGATTCTGCTGAGATGTACTTCAATAGTAATTACTGTTTACTCAGGGCAAAGAAACAATTAAAGCCAGGTGATGCGAAGAATGTGGAATTCATTAACCTTCCTGCTCATGGTTCCTCTAGGAGAACAAAACCTGACTGCTTTAAAAAAAAAAAAAAAAAAACGATTTAAAAAACGGCAGGTGGTGGTAATTTTAGGTAGGTATTTACAAACCTGCCCCAAACACACCATCCTGCCATGAAAGTTTTACTATTTTTTCCTGCAAAGAATTAACATAAACTCCAAAGACTGACATGCAGACGGTTACTGGGAAGCTCGGGGAGCTAATAGGGCTTGCAGGGTATGCCTCAGTTCTGTGCCTTGGGGACCCTCTCATATTGTCCCAGACCTCATATCCCCTAAAACGCCGATCAGACCCCATTCGTCAAAGGTAACTTGATATACTGAGAGGCTTGGAGGACATAGCTGAAAATACAACAAAATCATGCTGACTATAGCAGCAAGAAGCTTCTGATCCACTGCCGAACTCAAGACACAAAGAAATTGCCAGAGTAGGACATGTGTAAAACACATACACATGCACACAACAACTCTGGATTTTGACATAATATTCCCTAAGGAGGAAAAAAAAAAAGATAGATTGTGACCAAGAATAATCATGTAGCTTTTACTCTCATTTCCTGTGCTGGAAGTTCAAGGCCAAGAACTGTTGTTGAACTCGCATCCCTGAATTCACAGATGAGCCAAATCCTCCTTGACTCATTCCTAACCCACAGAGATCTCCAATTAGCGCCACCCAGCCTCTGAAACCGGAAGTGCCTGTGTGTGGAGCTTGGCGTTTTCATCTCCTTTCTGGGCTTTGTGGACACTGAAGCGCCAGGCATTGTTGCTTTAGCTCATGGTTTTGGGTTCTGTTATCGTTGTTGTGCATGCTAAAGGCCATCGTTCTGTTTGGAGCTATTGCACTGAAGATGAATACGTATCTCTTATACAAGTCACCGTCTTTCCAGATACTGCAACATCATCCTTTTCAGGTGTTAAGTCATGCTAGTGCTTAAAAAACTTCCCAGATAATTGATTCACTCCTATTCCTTGGTAAATTTCCCCTGACCGTCTGCTCCATATTATCAGAGAAGGTGTAAGCATGAAGACCACCCCCCACCCCCCACATCGTTACTGGAGTCCCAAAAAGCACTGTTCAGAATTTCATCATTTTTAAAGGAACGTTGAGGAGGGATTATGTAGAATCATCATATGATGAACCCCTAGGCTGATTCTGGGACACTCTTCACATGAACAGTCCTCCTTTCTTCCCTAGGGCTCTGGAGGCCAGGCAGAACTTAGCCAGTGCCTGGGAGAATTGTCAGGTGTATGTGTTTTGCCTTGTGTTTCATTTTAGTTTTCTCTCCATTCTCTAAATGTTTCCTTTTTCAAAGGTACCTAACTTTCTTTGTTAAGAAACATGATTTCCCCCATCTTCTTTTTCTTCTTCTCTTCCTAATGGTTCTTGAGATGAAAATACTCTGTTGAGTTTCCTTATTTGTACTCAGGCAGCCTACTCAATGACTCATAAGAGAGTAGCTGGTGACCTGTGGCTCTCACTGTTGAGAGGGAAGGCACATTTGGCATTCTGGCATCCAAACATAGAGGCCGAAGACATAAAGGGTTAGATAATCATCTCAAGCATGGTGCCAAACATTCCTTTAAAGCAAAACCTCAATTTCTAATCTTCTATCACTTTGGTCACATGGATGACTTTGCCTTTGTGAATGCAATACTACATGTTTGAAGTCTTACTGCAGGTCAAGTATTTCTTTTTGAAGAGTCTACTTGGCAAGGTTATTAACTGCTCAAAGAAACTACACAGTACATAATGTACATTTTGTGGCCTCAAGTTTGGCTTTTAACTTTAATTTCTCCTAAAGCTGTGAACATGGTTGTGATTTCTCTTTTACTACCATTTAAATATTATTTCCTCATTGATGTTTCTATGAAAATTGTGTATGGTTACATCCACTGCATCTGGATCCTTCTTTTATGGACCAGAAATCTTCCAAATGGTTCTTTGCGTATCATTATCAGACATATTGTTATTGGAGTCTCAGGACCAAAACTTAGTTCTTGTCATAAGTGTATGACTTATTTTTTTCATTTCCCAGCTTACTGCTTCCTGGTTTAGGCTTGCTGTAGTTATTACATTTAGTAATTGTTCTTTGAGTGTACCTTTTCTTTGCAGAAATCAGCCCAGATTACTTACGATGACATGGCTTTGACTCTTGTAGTAGTCTTTTGTATTTCCAAAACAGCCCAGGGGTCCATTAATTCTACCAAATAACCAACCATTTGATTGAAAAAAAAAATCTGTCAAACCAGCTACTTGATTAAGCCACTAGATTGGGATTACATTGCTGTATACTGTGGAATTAGATGAGGATTATAGAACGTTGTACATTGTGGATCCCAAGCATACTGCAGATCAAATTCCTATCCAGTGTGATGGATTATCTAAATTATAGTGGCCTAAGTCATGTATTTAAAATGGGGCTAAGATCTGTAGGATGAACAAATGCAACTCCAATAACACACCTGCAAAACTATAACTTAGTATCTCTGATAATGAATAGATTACAGTGCGAAGTTCGGGGCACTGGATGGGAAGCAGAATGGCTGGGGTCTGTTCCAGCTCTGTCACAACACATTTCTTTTGACCCGTCTAGACTTGAGTTTCCTCATTTGTAGAATGAGGGAGTTGGACTGTATTTTCTGGGGCCTCTTTTGGCTCTGAAAAGCTAAGACTCTACCTTCCAATGGAGATTGGCTTCCCCTTCTTGACTTTGGAAGTTGGTCAAAAGTCAACGATCCTTCTTCAGATCCTTCTTTCAGATCTCTTCTGATCTTTGGCTTTGGAATATAGTTTTATTTAATCTTACGGCAGGAAATATGTTTTACTGAAATGAACTACCTCTTGCCATGAAACAGGCAACACATGGTTAATTTGGTGGAATGACATTAACTCATTTATGTCGTTTTGTTCTTCATTATTTTATTTAATAATGAGCTTTATGACCTTTATGACCTTTAGCAGCCTCTCCACCCAGACACTAACAGATTGTCTCCAGGTTCTGGTTCTAGGTGGGAGAGTGATTTTCTCACTGTGAACTCGTTAATTCCCATGGTCCAGTAGGCAGGTCATGGCCTGGGGAATCATTTGCCTCTTAGATGCACATGTTTGGAAAGTTCTCCTTCGTAGAGCAAACATACGCACTCTTTCATCAACATCAGTGAGAAGTGAGGAATGGCCCTTTAGTAAGATGTAACCATGCAATGATGCAACAAAACTGGCTAACAGCATTTCATTTATTACAGGGCTAAATTCTCATTATTGTTTGTAAAGAAGGAATCCATAACCTCTGTAAAGTTACTGTTTATGGATGGTTGATTTCCATTTACAGAGGAAGAAAGTCCTAGTTGTCTCTAAATGTCAAGCTTTGGCTCACAAAACTCCCGTTTTCTTTTAGTTTGGGGGTGTGTGTGTCTCTGTCTGTGTGTATGCGTGCCTGTATGTGTGTGTTTAAGAAAATGTTTAGCAACTGGATGGTCGAGCAGGGAAATAGGACTTGCAACATGGAAGAAGGAACAACTCATTTCAGAAATTCTAAACAAACAAACAAAACCCAAAAACTGAGGGGATGTCATGGAAGGCGTTAACAGAGAAGACCCACATCATATGTTTCTTTTATATGGGGCTATCTCCGGGAGCAGCAGGGACTAGGAAAAGACTGGATTTTTCCAACAGAAGGAGTGTGAATCTGGAAATTGTTATGCTAAAATTGGTGTCATTTGATGCTGCAAGAGGCACTTTGCTTATGCAATTGAAATAAAAAGTAAACTGCCTACCTGGGTGTTTCCAGGGTAATTGCAAGCAAATAATACTAATTAGGAGACTTTATCGTCTCTAATTAAAAGCTAGGAAATAATTCACTCTGTGATGCAAGAATCCCTCGCTATTTGGAAGAGGCATATAGAAAGCGCACATCATTCCTTACTGGGAGCTTTTACTTTCAAAGACCCAAGGTGTTATTCTACAGAGCACAGCACTTTGGAAGCAGGGGATAAACGGATTCAGAACTTGGTACCCACAGATCCATCCCCTAAATACACATTTGGGACAGTGAGTGTAGGAAGTAGGGAGAGGCAATATATTAGTACCAGCTGTACTTGGAAAATGTCATTTAAATGGAACGGGGAGTGGACATGAACCAAGCTGAGAAGCCCTTCGGGTTGAAGCAAGTGGAAATATGGAAGCACTTTGCTTAACCTTTGGGGACTTTTAAACATTTACTTTTTCATGCCCCATGGCCAGAATTTCTTTTAGATCAGGTTATTATTGGGCAAGGGAGAAAGTGAAATTAAGGGAGGAAAAGGGCAGGCACCTAGGAAGGGAGGGAGCAGGAAATTTCACTTTGCTGAATAAAGAATATTTTAAAACTTAGGTCTGCCATATTCTTCTCCAATCAGTTTGATTAAAAAGCAGAAATACTACTTTCTTAAACACAGTTCATTTGTAATTTGCCATGACAATATAAATATGGGAAAAAAATAAGGCTACCCATCAGCAAAAGCATTTCTAGGGTGAATCTTTGGCAAAAATGGGGACCTGCAACAATTCAGGTGGTGTTTTTCTTTCAACCAGGTTCAAAAATCTTTGTAAATTTCCAAAAGTTGTAACATTTTCTTGTTTCCTTCTTACAGTCAGGCATTCAGAGGTACGCGTTGGTTCTAATAGCTTTGGTAGAAACAGGCTGAAAATGGAAATGAATATAAAAATCTTTGCCTTGAGGCTAATTTGGTATGGACTTGTAAGGCCTGAGTAAATTGATAAATTAGTACATTTTAAAAAATAATACAAGTAAATGCAAGACACATAGGTTTAACAACAGATTCAGAGAACAAGGTTAGTATAGTGTTCCTGGGTTTTGTAGAAGACACGGGGTAAGGCCACCAATACAGGAACTGAGTTCCTCTTCTGGTATCTTGGTGATGATCTCCTCTCATCAGCTTCACGTTCATGGAGGGAAGACGCAAAATGCAACATGGTCTTTGCTTTCATTTGCAATATGATCAGCAGCAGCGCTGGCTGACATCTGGGAGGGCTCAGCATTTTCATGGAGTGTGCAATGTGGATGCTTCGGGCTGAGAGGGGAGGACGTGGCAGTTGGTGTGCTGTGCTCGCTGGGGGCTCCTGGGGTAGAGGAGCAGGGCTCCGTGCAAAGGGACTTCCTCTCTGGTCGCGCCTTCCTTCATGGCTTGAGCTTGGTCTGAGAGGTCGGTGCCACTGTCACCTTTAGGTGGGGTGGAGGCCAGACCCCCAGCAGCCTCAGATAATTGAACAGCAGCTGTGACACTCAGAGCAGCGTTTCTTTTTTTTCTTGGGGTGGAAAATGGTGAGAATCGCTTCATCGAAAACCGCTTTGAGACCTTTCTGAGTTAGAGCCGAACATTCCAAGTAGCACTGTGCTCCGATCTTCAACACAAAAGAGAGAGAGAAAGGCATGAGAGGGAAAGAAAAGAGAAAAGCGGAGTGGGGTCACACCCTGCTGGGCCAAGTGCTGCCTCGGGCTTGTCCTGCCAATAGCCCTGGGGTTGGTTTGGATGCTTTTGTTTTTGTTTTTGTTTTTTTCCCTTTGCATTTCCAGTTGCATCTACTATCTTGATTTTCATATTTTTTTACTTTCTGATATTAGCAGTAAATGGTTGTGGATTGTTTTTGGTTAACCAGTAAGTTCTGAAAGTGAGCCATTGCCACTCATTCCTAATATAAGAATATAACAAATTTAAAACTTGAGAGAGGATTCAAAAGCAGTGATATGGTTTAAATATACTTTGTGAACAACAGGGCTACATGATGTTGTTTTTAGCACCCTTTCATAGGCGTGCGGAATGTGTAAATCTGGTACGAGTGAAATGTATCTCCTTCTGTATGTAGGAAGGCAGTGTCAGTTTGGTTGGTAAACCATATAGAAAGGGAGTGGATGATAAGGTTTGATAGATCGTTCTTCACCAAAATGTACTTTTTCTCCCCCAAGACTATTTATTTATTTATTTGACAGAGAGAGACACAGTGAGAGAGGGAACACAAGCAGGGGGAGTGGGAGAGGGAGTAGCAGGCTTCCCGCCGAGCAGGGACCCAGGTGTTCCTAAAATGTACTTTTCTTAAAAAAGACTTTATTTATTTGACAGAGAGAGATCACAAGCAGGCAGAGAGATCAGGGGAAGCAAGCTCCCCGCTGAGCAGAAAGCCCGATGCGGGGCTCAACCCCAGGACCCTGAGATCATGACCTGAGCTGAATGTAGAGGCTTAACCCACTGAGCCACCCAGGCGCCCCCCCCGCCCCTTAAAATGCACTTCAGATGAAGTCTCTCTCACCAAGGTAATATTCAATTGGTATTATTATTTGGTTTTGACATACTTTAAAAGGTGTATTTCTAAGGAGTTGAAAAACCCGAAACATGTAAAATAAAAATCATGAAATATATTTACTGATGGAGACACCCTCCTTGTCAGTATACGTTCCATGCGTACTTAAACGATAATATTTTGTTCTTGCCTCAGACTTTATTTCAAAGCTTTTGATGATTTCATACTGTGATATATTTGATAATCACAAAAATCCCTTTGAGAAACATAGGAATTCAGTCCAGAACTGGAGCTTCTCTTTAAAAAATAGCCAGCCAGAGCAGACCATGTTTGGCAGGCAAACCCACGAGATTGTTCGTGTGAGGGAGACTCAGGGTTTTAATTGCTCATAAGCTTGGCATTAGCTAATGATATGATGCGGGCCTTTTAATATTAGGGACATCTGGAGAAACGTTTTTATTATATACTTCACATTATGAGAATAACTAAAGAATCGAAGCAGATTCACAAGAGGGTGGTTGGACGGTGAGCCCTCGGAAGGCACAGCGGATCCATGACTAGAGCAGGGTAGCAGAATCACATGCCTATTCCAGTAGCTTCTGTTAATGAGGAAAGCAGGGCAAGGTGCCAGCCTGGAGGGACAGGTGGAAACTGTGGGGAACCTGAACAACCCCCTCCCCACCCCCCAAGAGCTGGCAGTCTTAGCCAGCTCTGGACAGTCGTTGCCATGGTTCACTGCTGGCCATCTTTGCACAATTGGACTTTTGGATTTTTAGGTAATAATTACCAATTTAAAAAATACTTTGTGGGCCAAGACACTAATGTGTGATTTCTTTGGCAGCAACCAGCCAGTTTGCAGTGCATGAACTAAAGGAATTTGTAGTAGACCTTAGGATAGAGGGGGAAAAGCCCCGGAAGGTAAAATGATTTGTTGAAGGGTACCCAACCAGACAGTAGAACTAGACCAGAATCTCGGTCTCTTGGCCTGTGTTCTTTGTTCCATGATGCTTGCCCTTATTATTCAACTCCGCAAGGAGCTGGTCGAGGGGCATCTGGATGGCTCAGGTGGTTAAGTGTCTGCCTTCAGCTCACCCTGGGATCGAGCCCCATGTGGGCTTCTCCCTCTCTCTGTATGAGCTAAAGGAAAACATCCACAGAAGAGATGTTGGATATTAAAAACTGCTCTTACGGTTTCATTTTAACCACGGTTTGGCCTTTGGATTAAAAAATGGCTTTTTTATTTGCAACTGATGAATCACTAAACTCTACCTCTGCAACAACCCCTCCCCCCACAAAAATGGCTTTTAAAAATCATTAAAAACAGATGGATGCAAAAAATGGATAAAAATAGAGACCATTTTCCTAATAATGTCATGAAATAGCATCGATTACATTTTGGGATTGTGGCCAATGCTTGCTACGAACATGTGAAAAGCACACCACTCCCGTGAGTTACCGACCGAAGGACTGCTTGTAACGCGGGCTCTTCTCTGTCATGCTGAAAAAATACCTAGAGAGTGCTGAGGGGCCATTTGTCTGGAATGCCTCCCCACTAAGCTCACAAGCCTCCTTGATTCTGGAAGGCTCAGTTCAGGTGGGGCTCTGGGCCATCAGATGCTGCAAGATGGGCAGGGCTAGTGCGTCATCCTCCCTCCTGGGTGCTCCTAACAGCCCAGCAGGCCTTGCCTTCTGAAGGCGGAGGATGAACCCAAATGCCTCTGTCCCTATGCAGATATTTCTGAAGATAATGAAACAGTGGATCAAGGCATTACTGTGTAACTGAGTTAATATAACACTGTTTCGGACTGATAGTTCCAGGTAAAATAGCAAAGAGATTTTGGGCATGATTTGGGAAATAGTTGTGTGAGAGAGAACCCAATTATGAGGTATTTTGAAGATTTTTTTTTTTTTTAATTCATTTGAGAGAGACGCAGAGACAGAGACAAACAGAGCACAAGCAAAGAGGGAGAGGGAGAAGCAGACTCCCTGCTGAGCTGGGAGCCTGACATGGGACTCGATCTGAGGACCTGGAGATCATGACCTGAACCGAAGGCAGACGCTTAACCATCTGAGCCACCCAGGCACCCCTGAGGTGAGTATTTTGTTAACCATCCATCAAGTGCTCTGGGTCAGAGAGAAGACTTCACCCTGGTTCAGGGAAAAGGCACAGCCATTACAGACATTGTTAAAAAGAAACCACCTCATTAATGACTTCAACGTTGTGAAATGGAAAACGGTCTCAAGGAAACATGGCTTTCCTTAGAGCTTCCTCTGCCTCTTGGAGCAAAATGACCTACACAGCCAAGTATTTGGAACATTCTATAAGAGAGCAGGATTTGTGGATGCTTGTTTAGATACACATGTTAGCAATCTGTGACATGCTTTGCCAAAATGGTTTATTTTCCAGGAAAAAAAAAGAGATTGAGGAATGTACACTGAGGGAACACTTTTCTCATAGCTTTATAATGGCTGAAATGTATCACCCCAAAGCTGAGAAATTTATCAGACATGTAGAGAACATACAAGAGTCTGACAAGAAGAAATTAAAGAAACAAACAAATGGACAAACAGAATCCACAGTGACCAGTCGCGTGAAAGAAAACCTCCTACATCTTCCAGGTTGTCGTTGTGGAGGTGGGACATGTTATGGAATAAAATAGAGTGTCACTGGAAGGAATGAAGGCAAAGAGGTCTTCCTGGCTATAGATGCCTCTGAGAGGCACATGAATTTAATGACAACTATAGCTTGTTGAGCTGGACCTCACCTTTCTTTGGGTCACTTAATCCTTGTAAGGACTTGGCAAGGTAAGCCTGTCACCATCCTCATTTGCAGCTCAGCAAACAGATGCCAGAGAGAAGAGGTTACCTCCGGAAGGGCACACAACTGAAACAATGTCAGAGGTTGGAATTTGTCTTAACCACTCTGTGGGGCAGCCTCCAGCGAATGAAAAGAAATGTGGCTGGAAAAGCAAAACGAGCAGACAAATGGAGATGTTGTTTTCGTTGTAGTGAGGGTGACGAGAGAGGGGATGGGGCGAAAGGGTAAGGCATTTCTGATAAACGGAGAGAAGAGAAAATATTAGTGAAATAAACAGGGGAAGCTGGTATCTCAGCAACCAGTGAATGACCAGAAGTTTTTTCTCTCTTATTTAAGAATTAGGAAAGGTACAGGTAACGTGAAAGCCAAGAAAAGGAAAGGAACCCAACAGCTTGTGTGATAAATTTCATCCTAACAAATTGCTCCAAGAGGAAAAATGTTTCTAGGCTGGATGGATTTGCAGCTGACTTTTTGTAAGAGTATAAAGCAGCGGTTGCCAGCTCAGGGGTGGGTAGATGATGTAAGTGTGCTGCTCGAGTGTAGGTGAGATCGAGTGGGGGGGGTCGTGGCAAACTGAAGGGTAGGTGCCTTTTCGAAAATGCTGTTGAAGGATTGCAGTTGATGAGGAAATGCTGGCCTAGTGCTGTCAAACCTTCTGATTTTCTTTTTTTAGAAGCCAGAAATATGTATCTTCATGAAAACTTTCTATTGTTCAATTTTGGCCACTAAATCACATTAAAAATACACGTGTGGACGGATGAAAGCATTTGTGGGTGAAGTTTGGTTCATCACTTGCCAGTGTTCTCCCTGTGCTTGAAAGGATACTTTTATGTGTACTGGTCTCTCTATTTGGAATTTTTTTTCTCCCTAGTCCTCACCTTTGCCCACTTGACAAACGTGTCCTTATCCTTCAAACCTGGCTCGGATGTCATTTGCCCTGAGACATTGTCTTGGAATCCTTTTTCCCTGAATGTGTCCATCACTTCCCCCTCTCTGCTACCTCAGTTCTAAGTATTCATTCAGGGGGCAGGCTTTGGTTTGCTGGTCACCCTCCTCTTCTGGCCTATGGGCCTCTTGAAGAAAAGGGCTTCATTTTGGTAACCCAGACCCCAGCAGTGAAGTAAACAATTTTCAATGACCACGAGAAAGAGAAGCAATGACTGGCACACAAAACAAGGGAGATTATGGTGACTTTTGCAGTCAGTAGGCAATTTAATAATTACTATCGTTATTATTAAAGATTCTATTTATTTATTTAACAGAGAAAGAGCACGAGCCAGAGGGGGGAATAGAGGGGGAAGCAGACTCCTTGCTGAGCAGGGAGCCCGATGCAGGGCTCAATCCAGGAATCATGACCTGAGCCAAAGGCAGACGCTTGACCAACTGAGCCTCCTAAGCACCTCAGTAGATGGGTATTGAAGACTCCGGTTGATTAAGATGACTGAACATTGAGGAATGCCTGGGTGGTGCAGTCAGTTAAGCATCTGATTCTTGGTTTTGGCTCAGGTCATGATCTCACAGTCGTGGGACTGAGCCTTGTGTCGGGGTCCACGCTCAGTGTGGAGTCTGCTTCAGATTCTCTCTCCCTCTCCCTCCCCGCTCACTCTCTCTCTCAGATAAGTAAATAAATAAATAAACAAAAAAATAAAATCTTAAAAAAAATATGATTGAACACTGATGACAGGATTTCTACAATAGTTTTGCTGCCGTCAACCCACTGGTGCAAACCTGTTCCAAAGCCAGCAGGAAACAGGTATCAAGACGAAGAGTGAGAACAACAGTAAGAAAGGCACAGGGTGAACAAGATCGTGAGAGAGGGCAAAAAGAGGCCAGAGGCTGACACAGTGATAAATGTTTTGTCAAGAAATACCCATTACTTAGGAAGTCTGGACTTAGAAATTCAGGTTTAGGTTGTGTCAAATGGAATTGGGAAAGAGAATGCATGAAGAATTATAATCTTTGGGCTAAAGTGTAGCAAGGTGTCTGGCACATGCTAGGTGTTCAGTGAGTTATTGACAAGTAAACCCAATAGTAGTGTGGACATGCGCAAATGAGGAAAGCTGGCTGGAGATTAAGAAACACAATAAGGACAGGAAGAGGGAGGATAAAACAAGTAGAGGGATAACAATGAATATTTATCATCGATTGAGACGACATATTTACGTGAATGTGTTTGACTTTTGATAAGTGTAAAGAATTGTAATATGCATGATATGAAAATATCCTTTAAAAATAAAAAGCCCTTTGAGACTAAAAAGAGATGCTAGATGAAAAATGCTTTGGAAGTTGAAAAGTACTGAACAAAAGGAATCGAATACAAAAAATCGGAACTTGCAAGGCATTTAAACTATGGGGGAGGATGTGCACATTAAAATACGGGGCTTCTGTACCCCTGGGGAAAATAGTACATTATATGTTAATAAAAATAATTAATAAAAAAATTAAATAAAATACGGGGCTTCAGTATATAAAATAGAAGCCCCAAACCTAAGGGTTTCTTTTCAGAATATAGGAGGGAAGCAGAAGAGGATGGTGGTTAAAGCAGTTTCACATCCCAGCTCTGTCCCTTTCTAGCAGTGTGACCGTCTCCTCCCTGAGCCTCAGTTTCCTTTAGGGAAGTAGAACTAATAATACACACACCTCAGGGGGTTACTGTGAGGATTAATTAAGACAAGGCATGCAAAGCGCTTGGCATAAAGCCTAGCACACAGCAAACACTCCATAGATGCTAGCTGTTATTATAAACTACTTGACAGGAAAGTCAGGGAGCAGAGAAACTTAAAGCATCTCTATAATTACATGTATTGTGATGAAACAAGTTAAACTCTTGCTTGGATTTCTTCTAAATTGGATTTCGTAAGCTAAACATGATTCTTTCCATATCCGAGAGCAGTTGCTAGGAGAAACTGGCAAAAGGCAATAAAGTGGTGAACTCAGCCATTGTTCTTAAAATAAGTATGAAACGAGATGGGAGGCTTTGGAGTGACTTCTTTTCAGAGGGGAAAAACAACTTCCTAAATGAGAAGTCAAGCCAGGATGCTGACAACATAATGGTGGATATAGGACAGAAGCAAGGGACAGAGAGACCAGCTCCTGCAAAATGTACCAGCTGATTCTCTGGGTTGGGGGGGGGGACTCCTTATTGTGAAAAATTGCATATTGGACTCACACACAATTGTCTGTGGAGCTATATGTCTATGTGCCTTAGCAAGGGAAGTTAAACTGAATGTGCGAAGAGGAGGTAGAAGATTGGCATACATAGGCATGTACCCATTTTACAGAAGGCAAAATAAATGGTTGGAAGAGACCATTTACACCATGGTCAGGTGCACAGGGGTCACACCCACAGATCTGGATTAAAGCTGCTCCCATGATTTTCAGCTGTGTGAATCCAACATGTTCATCTCCCTAAGACTGTTTCCTCACCTGCAAGATGAGATGCATGTTATCAGCTTAAGAGGGTTACCGAGAGGCTGAAATGAGACAGAGCCTGTAAAGTGTGTAATATTGTAAAACTCGATGAATGGCTCGCACTGGTAGTTCTGACATGATATTCACAGAAGTAGGAAGTGTTGTCTCAAGTACGTGTGAGACATTCTCATGTGTTGCATCCGTAAAAACATAATTCTATTTAATTCATTTCTATTTGAGTGTATCGCTTAGTCTTGGTGCCTATAAGAACATTTTAAGACGAGAAATGCATACATTTTTGTTCACAAAGGATTTGTAGGTAATATTCTTCTTGATCGGTTTAAAAGGGTGACGCCTTCTCTGCCCAGGGCATGCATTTTGCAGGGTTAGTTACTTTAGAAACCTTAATTACTTTAAGATTTTATTTATTTATTTATTTATTTATTTATTTATTTATTTATCTGAGAGAGCACGAGCCTGAGTGTCGGATGGGGGTACAGAGAGAATCTCAAACAGACTCCCTGCTGAGCTCAGAGCTCAACTCGGGGCTCGATCTCAGGACCAGGAGATACCATGACCTGAGCTGGAACCAAGAGTCAGAGGTTCAACCAACTGGGCCACCCAGGTATGCCCAAAGCTTTAGTTATTTTAGAAAAGGAGCAGTTTCTGAAACCTCTGGCCCAGGTCTCTGGGTTTATGACTAATTCAATGAGGAGGTAGATTCAGGTTATGGAAATATGATTTAAAAGCCTCCTGGTCCTTCTTCTCTTGTGTCCATTTTAGTGTCTGCTTTTGCACACATCTTGGTAGTAACTGGGAGACAAAGATTTGGTCTACATAATTTCCGCATCGGAATCACCATTCACATGAAGCTTTCAAGAACGAAGACACATCAGTGAGAAATGTTCCAGCTGCGAGCTGGTTGCTATCATCTGTCAGCAGCCCCTTGGATTTTCCAACTGGTCACCTGCTGGTCTACGTTACTCTTTTAGATGCTGTTTGGGACATAATCCAGGCTCTCTAAGTGGCTGTTCATTAGATGGTGAACAAATATAACCCCACCAGATGCTCATCTAAGTTTTTCCTAAGGAAATCACAAAATGCCTTTTATGGGGTCATTTCAATGAATTACATTGATAATAAGAAGTGAGTTGTCAAATATATATATCTAATAACTCCCTTTACTCACATGCACTATGGCAACCGGATATTTCAAAGGTTGTTAAATCAAATGATAAGTGCTTCAGTGGTTTAAATTCACCAGGTTTCTTTCTTAACAAGAGACAACGATGGCTGAGAAGAACGCTAACCAAATGGTCCCTTCCAATCCACCGAGAACAGAGGGGACAGCAGGAAGCAGACTGAACTTCAAAGTAAGAGCATACGTGGCTCACCCATCCCAAATCATACACCTAGTTCTTCTGTCAGCATATACTTAAAATGGAATTCAAATCAGACTGTACCGCTTTTGCAAGCTTCACACCGTGCTCGTAAGTGAGAGGTTTCTCTTTCATATACAGCAAACGGGCCAAGGTTTTGGGGTCATCGCGGAGATCAATCTGGCAAAAAAAAAAACAAAAAAAAAAACAAAAAAAACACAACAAAAAAACCAAAAAACCCCACATGATAAATTCACTTTTTTTTTTTTTTTTTTAGATCTAACCTGAGATTTTAACTGTGATTTTTAAACCGTGGTATGGTAGAGATTCCCTGTCCCCCCACTCCCCCAAGATCTATGAAGTCACTCAGTTTTCGTTGAGGAGGCACAAACACATGCCCATGTTACATCTGAAAAACTAAAGTGTTTTCTTTGTAAATGTAAACATCAGGTTTTCCATGTGCTTTCTTCTTCAAAAGCAAGTCCCTCTGGGGAGCTGAGGACTTACACCAATAATCCCATAGTTATCTCAGTTGTCTCAGGCATCTTTGGAATTCCCTGTTTATTTTTAGATCCCACTTCTAGGAGGTGCACCGTGATTGATCAGTCTTATTACCTTACGGTAATGCCTCATTTGATCCCAAATTATATTACTCGTTTCTTAATAGTCTATTTCCTGGCTCTGAATCCATCTTTGTCTTCACGCGCACCGGGATCAAGATTTGCCTCCTGTGAGGATCTTCTAATGAATGTCACTGCAGGTTCTGAAGGCGCGTCCCAAAGAGGAATTCCCAAAGGGTCTGCTCAAGGAATAAGCGTTAATCTTTTCAAAGGCAGAACTGCTTTGAAAATGGAGTATATGTTTGGATTAGTTTTGATAATTTAATTAAATATTTTAGTTGTTTTAAAAATCTCACTGTGTATGCACACCTATGCATACATGAATGGGTATAAATGTGGGCTTGAATTTTAAAGAAAAACCAATATATTCATCTAGTAAAGTTCCATTTATAAGCACATTGCTCAGCTTTACTAATTTGTGGGTTTTTTTCTTTTCTAGTCTCAGTTGTTCAATGTAGTGCCCACCAATTATAAAATCAGCTCAAATTACACAAAGATGTTAATGCCGTCAATATTTTGGCAGCAGGAATCAGGCTCCATAAATATGGCCAAACATTATCATCTGGAGTTAAGGTAAAAGACTGCATTTAAACAATTATCTTGGGGTGCCGGGGTGGCTCAGTCGTTAAGTGTGCCTTCAGCTCTGGCCATGATCCGAGTCCTGGGATTGAACCCCATATCGGGCTCCTTGCTCAGCAGGAAGCCTGCTTCTCCCTCTCCACTCCCCCTGCTTGTGTTCCCTCTCTCGCTGTGCCTCTCTTTGTCAAATAAATAAATGAAATCTTAAAAAAAAAAAATAAACAGTTACCTTTCAGAATTGAAGCGCAAACTATACTCTGATTTTTGGATGTGTTAATTATCTGTCCGTATCTTCTCTAGAAGTACTTTTATTATTTTTAAACATTTCTCTTTGTTAAACAGAATAGAAAATGAGAAATAGAAAGCAGGAGCATGTGAAACAGATAACAGTAAAACCCGTCAGCATTATTATGTTTCTGTGTCTTTGGATAGTAATTTAGGTTTTAGTGTAGCGAAGAACACAATCCTTCCAAAACTATAAAAAGTAGGAACAATCTCTAACACATTTGTGCAGTTGGCTTACTGTTGGAAATTCAAATTATAGAACTTTATTAGCTTTCAAAACACTTCAAAGCCTTTGACAATCACAGATTTGTTTATCTGGTACACCTGTTTTTCACTTCTCTCCTAAGCTCCGGAAGACCAAGAGGTTTAAAGGGGAACAGAGAAGAGTGAAATCCTGTCTTCCTTCTCCAGTGGTGTTGAGGAGTCCCTCTCATAATGTGCCCATTCTGACTGCTGGGGTCATTTTGACATTCACCTATTTTGTGACTTCCAAACAACTGTAGATTTCAGATATAAAAAATATTAGGCAGTGTGGTTGATATCCCCATCTCATTACTCCCGCTCAAGGCTAGAGAAGGGCATCTGTTTCAAAACGTACTTCGTTATTTAAAACTAAAAGCAGAGAGATTAATTTTGAAAGACCACATCAAAACCTCCTGTTTCATATTAAATAGTTCCGTCGTTTTCTCGACCATGGGCTAAATAATTACACAGATCTTAAGAATGGCTGTTTATCGGATTGATAACATCTGAGACACTCTTCTCTCATGTTGTTGAAATAGGATGTCCAAGAGACACCTAAAGGGTCTTTCCTTTTTTGCCACCCTCCTGCCCTGCCTACCCGCCCGCCATCACTGTCACTAACCTGGGTCCCTATGAGGACGTAAGGCACGTGAGGCATGCAGTCCTTCAGCTCTGGGACCCATTCCTCCTGGACGTTGTGGTAAGAGGCAGGATTCACGACAGAGAAGCAGATCAAAAACACATCAGTGTTGGGGTAGGAGAGTGGCCTCAGCTGGTTGTAGTCCTCCTGTGGGAAGAGCAAAGGGTTTGTACAGCTTAGGAAAAGGCGGGTCCCCCGTGGTTGTGTGTCCTGGGCCAGACTCCCCCCTAGCACCCTGTGACCCGATTCCTTCCTGGCCCTGGGATCTGGTGGTTCCCTCCAGGTATTCCTAGAAATAAAGAAGCCGTCAGTCAGGAAAACACCTGTTCTTTGTGTATGGAGATGGTAAATTGCTCCCCTTGAAAGAAGAACTTAAAAAGAAATTTTTTGAGCAGGTTTAGTGAGATCATGTACATGCTATAAATTTTACCCACTTAATGTATATAATTCAATAAGGATTATGGCAATTCCCTGTCCCGTTGGAATTATGTTGTATTGAATATTATTTAAATTAGTGTGCCATTGGCCAAGGCACAGCAATTCTCTTCTTATACAACTTTTAAAAGTTGCATGCAAATTTAATTTAGAATAAGCTATCTATAAATGTAAAACAAAGAGTTGTTACCAAATCAGACACCACAATTCTGTAGAAATAATATTGTGTGAGGGTTTAGAGTTCAGACTTTGGCTAAGTCTACCTAGAGGACATCGTGTGGCCTAGTAAATAAAATACCAGATTAATTATTTTTTCCCCAAACACTTTTCAGGTAAGAATATGCTCTTGTTGAAGAGTCCCCGGTTACAGAAAACGTTTATGTATGTGCTGTTTCCGTGGAAGAGGAAAAAGACAAAGTAAAACATTGAATCATCTCAACTTTGGGAAAATGTCAGCAAGTACCTTTTGTATGTGAAGTGTCTTAGGAGGTTCCAAGGTAAATCTGCCATTTCAATATAACATTTTCTGTTTTCATAGAATTTAGTAACACATAAGCGAAAAGTAATTTTATGTGTGTGTACTTATACTATATAAGTGTATGCTATGTATACGTTCATGTCTGCACACACCACAATTTATATAGTGGTTGTACACACCGTGTGTACTTCATATATGCACACACGCCATGTACATGCGCACACTACACATACATAGGGCAATGAAACCTGTATGTTCATGCTTATCACGTACTTAGATGTAGGCAACATATCATTTCATTTATTAGTGTCCTGACTTCTCTTTCTAACATTAAAAAAAAGCAGCTAAAACCCATATATGTTCATTGCAAAAATTCAGACCTTACCTAGAGTAATACATATGGTACAAGGGAAAGCTTGTTTTCGCCTTCTTTGTGATCTCTCCTAGTTTTTCCTCTCTTCCTAGAGGGAGCCATGATTGAGCAGTATCCGTCTGAATTTTACATACTTATAAACAGGTATAATAGACATGGCGCTTAGTTTAAAAAAGATAAATTGATGGTATAGTTCCTATTGTTGTCACTTGACTTTTTAAACTTGCTATGTCATGGGTATTTAAAAATATCAACCTTGTGCTCTTTCTGTTGACTCTCATGATGTCTTTATAAAAAGGGAGAACCTACGTACGTACGTGAACACCTGGGGACTGGAAGGGAGTCCCTGGGGAGAGGGCATGTGCTGATCTACAGTGGAGCTTCTCCAAGTACCCGGCCTGCACAGACTCAGCCCACAAGGCTGCAGCTATTACCACTGCTAATCCTACTAAAATTTAAGCAAAGGTTTTTAATTACCTTAACAAAATCAGTGTAAGTTGGCAAGGAGGCTAAAACAAAATCTCAAGTCTTAAAAAGTAAATTAAAGAATAAAAAAATGAGTTATAGTGGATCATTGATCATATTTCTATTAAGCAAATAATCAGAGTTGATTGCACTGCTGAATAAAGACTGGTCATACTGGGCTGTTGGACTGGGCCTACTGGTTGCATATCAGTTAAATTGTTCCCTCTGTTCGTGTGTGTGGTACTGGTAGTGGCAAGGCAGTGGGAAGTGGACAGCTCATTTCTTGTCATTATCCCCTCTTCTTTATACGAGAGCCCTGTAACCAAACCTTCTTGCCCACGGTCTCTGCACTGCTCTCCTTTTTCTCTGGGACTTTGCCTTAGGGAGCAGCTGTGAGGTCTGACAAGCTACAAACTCCTTCCCAGGCGGTATCTTACAGCTGTTCATGATACCACCTGACCTCTGCCACTTCATCCTCCCATGTGGATTGTGTTAAAGGGAGCAGGGACCATGCTGTTCTTTCTCATGCCCTACTTATACTCTGTCCACAGCATGCATTCCGTAAACCCCGCCCACGGTTTGGTGCAGTGACCTGCTAATGAACACATGGCTTTCTGTTTGCCATTTATGGCAGAGTTTTCATTAGAATCACCTGGGGAAATTTAAGACCATCCCAACATGCTGGTAGCCAACTAAATGCCTCTTTCCCCACATTCCAGGACCAATTAAATCACTGTTTTTGTAGATTGGGCTGGGAATCTGAGCATTCTGGTATCATGGGTTTGGAACTGACGTGGAATTGAGAATAACTGATTTGCATCCTCCTTATCTTCATCATTGCTGAGGTGGGGTCAAGGGCTTAGCACGAAGGGTCAGGCATTGTTTCAGAACTTGTTAGTTCTTCACAATGGCACTGGAGAGATGGCAGCATCCACATCCATATTTCACTTATGAGCAAATTAAATTTTAGAGAAGTTCAGTAATGAGCTAATGTCTGAGAACGATTAAATACCAGGATGGGCTGTTTAGCCCAAATCCAGCTGCAGCTCTTAATTGTGACCACATTATTTGCTCAGCTCAGAATGTTAAGCGACAGATTAAGCATTTTTTTTTTTTTGGGAAATTCAGTTTTCTGGGAATCTTAATACGGACTCATGGTTTTACCCAGGAATCTAAGAAATGTTGGATTTCACAGGTTTATGATCTACTTCATGGCCTGCAGTTGCTAGTAATTACCACCAGGTGGCAGCAGATACTATATATTTAAAACCTCAAAGCCAAAACCCAAAAACTGCACCATCAGAACTATATAAGGTAGGAACAAATAACTAGTTGTCTGAAAGGATCATGTTGATTTAATTCTATAACCAGAAGCTATCAAAGCAATTCTAGAAGAGCTAGGAAGACCATGGGTTGCTGTGGGGACTGCAGGTGGGAGTGTAAGAGGAGTTCGGGTTTTTGATCATTTACTCCTGGCAGGGTAGCCAGGGCCCTCCAGCCGAGGGACTTCCGACTTTGTCCTTCATGGAGGCTTATCTTGCTCTGTATTCTGGATATCTCTTCTGTAGACACCTTAGTTCTGCTGTGTAACTCCATTCAGAAAGATTGACTGATTGTCTCCTGCACTGTTAAAAATGCTCTATGAAGCCTAGAAGGTGAGTAAGAATTGACTCTCCACTTGGGGGAAAGAAAACGAAAATATAGAAATAACTAGTTTGCCCCAGCTGATATGTTTTCTTCAGCAGGGCACATTTTGAGCCTAGGTTGGATGACCACGTGTGGAGATGCTGTAAAGGAACTCTGAGAAATGGAGAAATGGTCTCGCTGGTAGTTGAGGCCCCTTCCAATGTTGAGACTGAGAATGGAAGACCAGGTCTTGAATGTTTCTAGAGGAGACAGGTCAATCTAAAATTGCGGCTTGAGTGGAGCTTTGGGGGGCTAAAAGGGACAAGGGGGCTGGGTAGGGGGTGGGTGGTTCAGGGGATAGGGATGAAGCTGGGGCAAGGTAGGCTTTTGAGTACTTTCCACTAACTTTGCTCCAAAGGCAGGAGACTGGTTTGAAGGCAGATCCGGGGCTCTAGGATGACTATGGGACACTGTGAAGAAATAATAGTTCATGGGTAGCCTCGGTCTGATGGCCATGTGCCTTCCACATATGTCTGGAACAGCCAGAGCCTCATGGTCCAGGTGGTGAGGAAATGAAACAATTCGACCAATCCTCCTCAGACTTTCGGCACCCATGAATCTTGTTAACGTGTGGCTTCTCATTCAACAGCAGGTCTGGAATGAAGCCTGAGAATTTATTTCTAACAAGTTTCCAGGTGATGCTGATGTTGTGGGCCCAGGGACCACACTCGGAGTTACAAGGAGAGTTGCATTGAGTCTCCCCCACCGCACCCCAAACCCACCCATTCCCCACCCACATTCAATTGGAAATAGAATTCTGCTTCCAAGTCCTCTTGGGTTTAGTGACATTTATCCCAGATTTTAGCATAAGTCTCATTTTTATCTTCTCCCATAAGTACACTCATATCTGTCAGGCTTGGGCTGGAAAATGTGCGCAAGAGCCAGGGGGTGGGAGTGTAGCATAGCCCTTCAAAGCCTGGGCCAGGGAGACACATTCTCTGGGTTCAAATCCCAGCATGGCCTGTGACTACTGTGTAACACTGGGTAAGTTCTCTATGCCTCAGCATCTTAATCCATAAAATGAGTGGATAATAGTGTTGCCCCATAGGGTTTTTTGAGAATAAAATGCATTTGTATGTGTTGACTGCCTAGAGCACAGTCTTGAATGTAGTAAGTTCTTTAGTATTCGAGAGTCCCTCCCATGAACAATAGTCTCAGTGTCCCTGCCCTCAGGGGATACCAGGGCTGAATCTGAAATTTGCTTGTTCTAAACTGAATAGTAACAAGACCCACGTGATTGCATACTCTAATTTCACCTCTGAATCCATGTCCCTACAGCTTTATTATTATTATTATTATTATTATTATTATTATTTTTAAAGATTTTATTTGACACAGAGAGATCACAAGTAGACAGAGAGAGGAGGAAGCAGGCTCACTGCCCAGCAGAGAGCCCAATGTGGGACTCGATCCCAGGACCCTGAGATCATGACCTGAGCCAAAGGCAGAGGCTTAACCCACTGAGCCATGCAGGCAGCCAAGCTTTATTATTTTTTAAAAATGATTCTAGAGGTAAGATTTTGTCCTGAGGTTACTTTTATTAATAACTCGTCATGTTAGCAAACTTCTTCCTAATCTCCAAATTGCACGCTTCTAAAACCACATTAAGATGCTTATGAGTTAGAAAAGTCGAGTTGTTCACTGGGGAAAAACATTTGTTTTGAGCCTTAGGCAAACTTTCGTGGAGGGTTGATGCCAGAATCTGTGCTCCAGATGGCCCCATGGGGTCAGCCAATGGCCACAGGGAAGGCTCATGTCCTTCTGAATGGACCCTGGGTTACCATGAGTGAACCCCAGCTGTACTTGCCTCCCATGCCTCGTCAAGCTCTCGGGGGGAGAGATGCTTCAGAAATCAGAGCAGGTGAGGACACGCGGTGTACAGTCCTGGCTGAGGGAGGCGTGTGGCTGATGGCCTTTCTACCCCCTCACTTCCCTGGTCACACAGCTGAGCTGCTGGGGGCTGTGGCTTTGCATCCCATGCTTGCCAACATACAGACAGGCCACCCCCCCCACTCCATCCTGTGGGTCTTGTGTGCAGAGAACATGGGGGTTCATCTTGCCGAGAAACCTAGCTCCTAACACCAGGAGATCCCAATTCTTCCCTGGCAGTGCCACCAATGCCACGTTTGCAAATGTGGCCTTTGAGAGGTGTCTCTCCTGGAGTTAGGCCTGAGGGGTCACGGTCTGAGTAAGGCTTCACCCACACACTCATGTAGCCAAGGGCCCACTGACAGGAGGAGGAAAGATGTCTGCTGCCGCGGCTGGCTCTGTCCTAGGTGGCTGGGATGGGAGGATGCCTGGCTCTGAGCCATGACCTGGGACAGACTGGTCCACCAGTCTGGCATTCCTTGGTTAGTGAATGCCCAGGCTTTGCTGCAACATCCCCGCCCCAGCATCCTGTTCTCTGCTTGGTCTCTAATGACGCACTTGACACGTACTGGCCTGCAAGTACGTCACAGAAAAGTTGGCTCTGGGACTCTTTGTAGCCGAGCCAAAGGTCTGAACCCTAGAAATCCCTTTCAGAGAACCTTTCAGTAAGACACTACCAGGGGCTCATGCTGTACAGCCTGACTTGGCGTGACCTCAATAGATCTGGTGTCCAGGCCTGGCCTTGCTGCCTTTCCAGGGTGAGCTGAGCGGAAACACGCAGAGTCAGCCTGCAGAAAATCCCACACCTCATTGCCTTAATTCACTGTTTGGAATTCTGTCTCACAGCTGAACCAGAGTTCTGACGACTTTGTTTTCAAAGGATTCTACTCCAAGTACCAATATATGTTTTGGGGATTTGGGGAGGAAGTTCATGGTTAATAGCAGCGGCCGGGTGCTGGACTTCATTCTGAACTGTCTTTAGCAAATGCTTGGTGGGTTCCTGAAGGGCCAGGAGCCTGTCTCCGGGGGGTGCCTGGGGGGCACCCCGCCGTGATGTGTCCAAAAGGACTATGTATGACTACGTGGACAGAGCTAGGTTAAAGCATTTTGTCTAGGGCTGACTTTGAGTGTAGAAATACCAAGTTCCAATCACTTTACTTTTCAGAACATGCACCTCTTGAGGCTGTTTTCATGGACTCTGACCCACAGTTAGTTCAAAACAAAGAGGAGGGACACTACTTCCTGGTTTATTCATGTAAGAAAATCTAAATATTCCCAGCAAGATAGCATTCTAGAGTTGGGTTTCAGAGACTTCTTTCTTTCTTTCCTTTTTTTTTTTTTTTTCGCAGTTCAGGGATTAATCAGTTGGTTTTGAGATCACTTCTCTTTCTTAGTAACTCTGGCCATATGTGTATTTTTGAATTAGCTGAATGTCCCTTAACCTTGTGACCTCAGTGACATTTGCTGGAATATAACTGAGGATAGTGGATGATCCTACCTGAGGCCAGCAATGGGAATTTTGGGATTGTGCTTCTAAGTTAAGTGTGTCACAAAGCCTGATTAGCAGAAGGGTAGAACCAGGGGAATCAGCTCAGGGAAGGGGTATTTTCTGCTGCACCCTCCTAAGGTTAAAGCCATGCCCCGATCACCGAAGACTTGTAGAGAAGTGCTTCTCCTATAGGTCATGTGGGGATCTTCTGAACATGAATTTTCAGATTCGGTAGGCTGGGCTTGAAAATCTGCATTCCTAACAAGCTTCCTTGGTGATGTTGATGCTTCTGGTGGACCACACTTTGAGTGGCAAAGTTCTAGAACAATGATTCCCCTCCTGCCCCTAGCACGAGGCTTGAACTCATGACCCTAAGATCAAGACCAGGCTGAGACCAAGAGACAGTTGCTAAACCAACTGAGCCACCCAGGTACCCCAAGACGTGTTTCTTTAAATGTGGTGTATAGACCAGCAGCCACAGCACTAGGAAGCCTGTTAGAAATGCAAATTCTTGGGCCCCATTTCATACCCATAGAATCAGAAATTCTGGAACTGGGGCCCAGGGACCTGGATTTAATAGGACCTGCATGTGATTCTGATGTCTGCTTAAGACTGAGAACCACCACTATTGTACAAAATGAATTACATGTCACCCTTTAGTGTAACACACTCTAATATTTAATAATCCTTTGCTGCTGGAAGGTCTCCCTTGGGTCTGGCCTCAAATCCTTTTGCTTAATTACTCCAGGTCTTTTAGGCCTTCTTGAAGTAGTCTGTTAAAAGTCCTAATCATAGAATTTTAGGCCTAGAAGAACTTTAAGATGTGTTCTGATTCCTCTTCCCCAAGCTGCATGTACCCCTATGATCCTTGTCCACGCCTGAGCTTTTAAAGCAGCGGGTGGAAAGCATTAGAGTACAAGTTAAGTTGTAGAAATGTCTATAACCCACTTGTGATATTTTATCAGTGCCCATCACCTCTTCTGTGTCAGAAGTTTGGGTCATTCAATTTTTTTCAAGTTGGAGCTTAAGGATATTTTTATACTGCCTTACAGCTTTAAGTCCTATACTAATGTTATTTAAAATTTTTTTTCTAAAAAGGACAGCAGTGGGAAAGACTAATTAAACTCTATAGGGGCTTTTAAACAGTTTTATTGGATTCAAAATTAAATAGAGGCTTGGGGAGATTGTTCTGGGGACAATGAATGGGTAGAAGCTAACAATTGTTATGGATTGCTACTGAGGGGGAGAGCACTGGATGGGTATGAGGGGCACACGGAGCTTTTCAGAAGATGAGGGAAACGGAGAAGTTTCAGAGGCAGGCAATAATCCTTGCTGTATTGAACTTTTCAAACTAGACTGTATTTATGAATGCTGACTGTGGGGAATAGGGGTGTAAACTTCTCTCTCTTCCAGGCTGTGAGTTTCTGGTGAATGGGGACACCCTAATGACTATATGACTGAATGAAAATAGGGAAATTCAATCCAAAAAAGAGAGTAACTCTGTTGCTGCAAGGCTTTCTGGTGGAGGGACATTCAAGCAGCGGGTGCACGGACGCCTTTGTACCTTAACCCAGAGGAGCCCAACCGAGTTTGTGATTTAGGCATTTGAAGCATTGTGTCCGAGTTCTGTGTCTTGATATCGATGTGAGAAATCTCCTTTACTCCCCAGTTCCTGAGAGCAGCTGGCTAACACAACCATCTTCAAATGAAGGGTAACTGACTCACTCTTACAAGTCTTGAGTCTGGTGCAAGATTTTTTCCAGGTTCCCCACTGTCCAGGCTTATCCGACATCAGCTTCTGATGTCCCACAGGCTTTTATAGATGGTCCTTGCAAATACACACAGAAATCCCCCCCAAATTCCATTTCTTATTATTTTTCCTAGTACAGAGTTTTCAAATTGAGCAAAAAGACCTATCTCCAGATAATCGTGGGAAAAAAAAAAAAAGCCCAGACAAATGCATAACTACAAAGAATAATAACCAGGAAACTCACAGTAGGAAAGAGCATGGTCAGTGTTCACTCCAAAGGACTTAAGATGTATGAGTTTGGACAGACTGAATAACCCGCTGATTTTGACCTAAATAAATGACCCAATGGTAACAAAAGCTCTATCAAAGAAATTGGGCCACAGCCATCAATTGCTTAACCCATGAATTTGTAACATTAGAAAGCTTTCATAGTGGAGTGTAGGGTACAAGGAAAGAAAGATGAGGTGGCATTTTTATCCATGTAGGGCACATGCTAGTTGATAAGTGTGCAGGGTTCTTTCTAATCCACGGCCTTACATTACTGGTTGGGCACGTTCTCCATCTTGAAGATACATCTCCGACAGAATGAGAGCATTTCAAGAAGCTTAGAGAATGTAGAGTCAACCTCTGGTTATTCAGGACTTGACCCTCACTTTTGGAAACCATTCAGGATCCTGGCTTGTCTTCTTACTGACACTTAATCCATCTCCCTCCCCTACCCCCACCCCCATACCCCATCTCTTTTTGGACCTATCCATGGCTCATTAGGCAATTCAAATAAAGGCTGGGCAAAGAATATAATGTGAAAAAAATAATAGATGAAACAAAAATTTATAAAATTGACTCATTAATCCCGAATTTGGAATTGGCATGGGTAGGAAGAAATTGAGGTACTTGGCCAAACAACATTATTTTGGTTATTGATATACACCAACCAATGAATGAATGGTTATTTGCCCATCAACACTTTGAGTAATGTAATGATTTGTTTTTTTTGTAATTATAAACATTAAGATATTAAGAATATGCCATTGGTTGTCATTTAGATAGACAATAAATTTGTCCCAAGTGATCAGAACAGGTCATATCTGTTCCTACATGCCTAGCCACATGGATCATTCTCCCCACTCCCAAACCCTTAATGAATCAAAACAGCGACACTGTACCTGTCCCGCGGTGTCATACAGTCCGAGCAAGTGTTGCTTGCCTCCCACTGTCACGGTAACTAGGGGAGAAGAGAAGAGGAGAGTCCATAAATGCAAGTTTTCATCAGGAGGCTTCATATTTCTCTATGCAGCATCTTCCTGGGCAGTAAGGAGAAGCATATGCCTCACCCACGTATATTCTAAACCAAGCTGACCGCATGGTTTCCAAATGAAACGCAACCTTGGTCTGCAGTGAGAGCAGATGGGCTCAGCCAAGTTCCTAATTTTTCAGCTGAGATGAGTATTATTGGTGCCGCGAGGGCGCTCTGTAGGCTACTCATGGATCCCGATTAGGCCCTGGAATATCAAGCTCTTGAAAGGAAAAGGTTGCTGGATCCTTTCTTGGTTTGGTTATTTTTTTCTTTTATTTCATTTGAGCCATGTTTCAGGATATAGAACTGTGTGAGCAACTTCTCTGTTTGAAATCTTTCTGCTATAGTCTGTCTCTGAAATGTTAATAAAACCATGAAAACCAAGACTAGTGACTCACCTACATATTTTATAGTCTATAAGGCAAAGCTAATAATGAAATGAGAAGGACAACATTTATTAAAATTTTTTTTTTTTAAGATTAAATAAGTGCTTTAGCCACCTGATTTATTACAATATTGAATGTTAGGTGCAGGAGGAGGTGTTGTCTGGGTTTGCTTTCATAGACCTGAAGGGTGTACATAGAGTGGAAAGTTGACAGTTTGATTTACCTAGCAGGCTTACTGCCTTGCCAAGAAATTGTGCCCCAAAGGGAGAAGTAATAGAGGGATACAGACCACTCTGTACATGTCTGGAAATGAAATAGAGTCCCAACTTGAAACTAAACCGAGACGGATCACATGGAATGCAAAAGAAATACAACCTCATGGTGAATAGAAAGGGTGAATTTAAGCCCCCCCCATTTAATCTTTTTAGAAAAAGGAAGTAAAATGTGAGGGAGACTGTGATTTTTTTTCCTACTTAATCAAAAAATGTGCAAATACTGTATAAAAAATGATTTTTGGTTCCTCCAACCATTAGCTATGCAGGAAAGACAGATCTATGGCGGAGGAACCTTTGTCACCGGCTTCACGCCCCTGCCCACCACCCTGGGTTCTCCAGCCTGTTTCAGAGCTGCTGATTCAGGACTGATTGGACCGGTATTGGTTCTCAGGTTCCTGGGCTACACGAAGGCTAAGTACCTCTCAAAGTCTCATCCTCTGAAAAGCATCAGTTTAAAAGCGCTGCCTCCCGACACCGGGAACGACGTTTCTCATCTACCCAGATCCACACGTGTGCGGCTGGATAACGGGGCTGCAGCCGCTCGCCCGGAGCAGCTTTCGAACGTGGACCTGGCGGACCCAGCTCCACGCAACGCCGGCGACCATGCTGACAGAAGAGGGGCTTCCCAACGTTTTGATTTCCTTTCCTATCAGGCGAGCAATGGGAATGAAGGTGAGACTGTGTCGCCCGAGCTCTGTCCGGACCTACTTCCCCTCTCCCTGCATGCTTGGCGCTCACTCAGATGTTCCTAAAGTCTGCCGAAGTGGTTTCTTTCATGACCAATTCGCTACCTAGTCATGGGTCAGGAATGAAGGGAAGAAATCCAACTATTACAGCATGGAATTTCCTGCTCTGGTGAGCCTAGGACTGGCGGGTCGGGGGTTGGAGGGGGAGGGAAGGGCTGTTCTGGGGACCCTCCTGGAGCGTCCCACGACCTGCAGGCCCAGGGCCATCTCCAGCGCGAGCACCAGATGCCAGGTCATCCTCACGGCCCCCGTAGGCGCTGCAGATGTTCCTCATCAATGGCTCTGACCTCTGTTGTAGGAGTGCTGCGGGCTCGTCCCTCCGGCCCGCTTCCCCTCCGGCCCCACCCTTTGCTCCCCCTGCGGCCTTTGGGAGGAGACTCCGGCAGAGTTTGCCCTCTGTCTGTCCTTCCCAGGGTTTACGGGGTTCCTGGACCGCACTCAGTGTTGGGACTACAAAGACCAGCTAGAATCCCTCCTGTCCTGGAGGGTGGGGAGGAGGGGTTCACCCGCAAGGCCTGGCTGGGCACAGTGCCACGTGGTAAACACCCTGCCGGGGCAGCGTGGAGGGCTGTGGGAGCACACAGTAGAGCCATTACTGTTTTACTGGGCATGCGCGCATGTGTGTGCGTGCCGGCGGGGGAGGGACCATGCGCGGCGCACGCACGCACACACGCATGCGCACACACGCAACGCGTGTCAGAGAAGGCTTTCCGGAGGACAGGTGTAAGCTGCGTCCCCGGGGTGGCTGTGAGTTACTCAGGGCACACTAGGGGAGGGACAAGGGGTGTCTCACCAGCTAACCCGGGTTTACTGGGGGAGGTGGGGCCGAATAGGTGAGCGCACAGTGCCTGGCGGTCCTGACGCACTAATTTAGACTTTTCCCCAAAGGCTTTGTGAAGCTACGAAAGTCCCGAATTCTTTCTCCCAAAGAAAGTGAAAGAGAAGGAATTGAAATAATTTCCTCGTATTAAGGAAAAAGGGGGAGGGGTGCATTTTTCAGGTAGAAGTCTCATTGGCTTTCAGCTTTGTTGGGTAGCGGCTATCTACTCTGTGTATTTGGCCAGCCCTGGTGGAGGGATCCCAAAAGGAGGGGCAGCGCTTGTACCCCTAACCCGGGCAATCACTGTTATTCTCTTTTCTGTTCTTTCAGTCTCCCATTTTATTGGAGGGAGATAAGTGGATCCCACGGATGATGCTAGGGAACACAAAGGGACAGAACCAAGCATTAATCATCATAGGCTGTCCAGACTGCAAATGGCTTTATGAGTCCTTATCTTAAAGGAGCAGTGGATGCCTTATGGCTTGCCAACCTGTGTCCTACAAAGTTCTCAGTTTGGAAACACATGACAGCACGAAAGGCCCTACGATGCTGATAGTAAATGTAGTGAGGATGAAAGAGCAGGATCTTCTAAGTCCCATGGTTCCGTGTTGGACACCTACCTTTGCTGTTCACCATTTGTGTGATCTTGGGAAAGTCACCTAACATCTCTGAGCCCTGCCTTTCTTATTTGTTAAAAATGGGGATAACATCACCTACCAAAGAGAGCACCTGTAAAGAGCGTATTAAATGAAAAAATGTCTGGCACACAGCCTGGTCCGTAGGAAGCGCTGAACAATTATTACCCTCCCCTCCCCTCCTTCAACAAAGGCTTCCTGAACCTTTAGTAAGGACAGGGACCTGTCTTGCTGTCCACTGAATCCCCAGTGCTGATTAACTGGCACAAAAATTCATAATATTTGTGAATTTCTGGTCACTTTTTTTTTTTAACTTTATTTATTTGAGAGACTGAGAGTCAGATCACAGAGGGAGAGGGAAAGGGAGAAGGAGAAGCAGACTCGCCACTGAGCAGGGAGCCCAATGCAGGGCCCCATCCCAGGACCCTGAGATCCTGACCTGAGCTAAAGGCAGAAGCTTAACCCACTGAGACACCCAGGTGCCCCTACTGGTCACTTTCTACCCCCAAATGATAGCTATTTAGATCTCTGTCTTCTGTCTCCCGCTGGATAGGAAGACCCTGGAGGAAGAATGTCCATACTTCCTATCCCACACGGTACACAGCACAGTTCCTAGTACACACAGTTGAGGCTGAGCACATGGTACAGAAACAGAACACCAGGGGCAACTCAGGTGGAAGAAATCCTTCAAAATGCACCAAGCTGCAGCTAGAAGCCCCCTGGCAGGACATGACTGCTGGGAAGGCGCAGCCAGCTAATCTGCCTGGCAGACCGCGGTCAGGCTATGGTCAGGCTACGATCCCAGAACACTGTCTATTCTTGGAGCTATTAGAGTTGTTTACTGAGTGTAGAGGGGTTTTAAAGAGAGTGGGTCAGATGACCTGATAATGGCTGTTGGTTCTCTCAGTAAAGTGTGAAAAGTTGCCAGCGACCTGTTAAGATGTAAAATGAAGGCCTTCTCCAAATCCTTTAAGATCTTTGCTTCCTTGTGGTTCTTTGCACAGACGGGAGTGGTTAATTTTGTGAGCCGAACGAGGTGCTAATGAAGTCGAAGTTGGGGGTGGGATCTCTTGAGCATCACCCAGAAAGAAAATGTCCCGGGTGGGCTCGCAACCTGCTCCCCTCGGCATTTCAGTCCCCTTGTGTCTGGCCCCATGTGTCATTTGCAAACCTGGATAAGGAAGTGTTGGTCATTCCCTGCAAGCCAGGTCAGACCCTCAGCCCAGCTCATGAGCAGCACGAGGCACTTGAGCCAAAGTCCCTCCCTTGTTAGGTGGTGGGCTGGCCATCTCATCCGCCAGGAGCAGTCTTTGGAAGTCAACATGATGCATCAGTGATGAAGCCAAAGAAACGCATGGTGGAAATGCCAGGTCAGCCGGGAGGAAGCCGCCCTTTCCTTCCCAGCACCTAGCTAGCTGTCCGCATGGCTCGTGTGGAGTATACTCTGGGAGGTAGGCTGAAGCAGACCCAATGAGGTGTGTTCATGTAATACCATAAAGGTGCTATTTTGGAGGAAGAAACACTAGGTGATATACCTAGCAAGAAATAGGATTTTAAAGAAGATAAAAAATGTGGCTCTCAGGTAAATATAGGATGAAGATAGGTCAAAGATTTATTAACTTATTGATGAGGGAACCAGTAAGGTGACAAATCTTATACAAGGAGAATTTTGAAGAGCTGACATTTAGAGGTACTTAAAAAGAAGAGGGGTTGGAGGAAGTGACTAGGTTCAATGGGAAACTAGTTGTTGTTCTGTGGAAAAGATAACCTTCCGTGTTGTCTTTTCTACTAAATGGGAATTCTTTGCTTATCCACCTGAGAAGATTTATAAGCTATCATGCACCTTCTGAAAGTCCCAAGTTTTTAGTTAGCAGAATCACACAAAGGTACATTCCCTTAGATTGTTAGTCCCTGGGGGGAGGGTTGCCCCTACAAGACAGCGAAAGGAGAGTTTCATGCTCTTAGCCTTATATCCAAGATTCAGCTAATTTTTGTTCATGTCTGAATCCAAGTCCATGCTTTGTGACTCATTTGCTGAGATGTTGGGCAAGCCAGTAGGTCTCTCA